GGCGGGGGCGGGACCCTCGCGGTCCGTTCGGGGCGAGTTCTGGGGGGTGTTGTGGGATCGCCGGGGGTCCGAAGCCGCTCTAAACCCCCTCCCGGTGCTCCCCCGGGCCCGCCCCGCCCGCGCCCCCCGCCCGCACCTGCGCCGCGTCCGCCGTCCGTGCCAGGCCGCGAGCTCTGCGCCACGCCCCCGCCGCTCATTGGCTGAAACCCCGCTTAGTCCCGCCCACAGCCTCATCCTATTGGCTCTCGTCAGCGCAGGGGGCGGGGCTCGCCTCGAGACGCCGTCACGGCCCGGGCCGCGCCCGAGCGCCGCCGTTGGACGAGCAGCGCCCGCCCCCGCGCGCGAGCCCGGCGCTGATTGGTCAACGTGAGCGCGGCCCGGCCAATCGGAGYGTTCCGTTCGCCGCCGGCTTTTGGGCGCCCTCCGGTGGCGCCGCCGCTCCGCAGAGCGCCCTCTGGTGGCGCCGTTGAGGAAGTGCAGCATTAGGGCGGGACCGGGCGGGGCGGGCGGGGCGGGACCGGGAGGCGGTGGCAGCGCCGGACACGACGGACTGAACCTCCCCCCACCGCCCCCCGGTGCCTGGGCCGGGGATGGGGAACGTGGAGAGCGCGGACGGGGAGGCGCTGCCCCGGGGCCCGGGATCGGCGGCGGCCCCCGGGGGACCCGGGCTGTTCGCCCCGGGCAAGATGCCGATGCCGGAGCCCTGCGAGTTGGAGGAGCGCTTCGCACTGGTGTTGGTGAGAGGCCGACCCCCGCCGCGCTCCTCGGTGCTCACCCTCRGTTCCCGGTGCGCCCCTCCGGTGCGCTTCGCCTGTTCGCTCCGTCCCTGCTCCCGCTGCGCTCCCCCCGGTTCATCCCTGCCCGGGACTCCTCCCGATGCTCTCTCCCGGGCCATTTGGCGGGCACCACCGGGAGAGAGCCACCGGGGGCGGGTGGGGAAGGCTGGTGCCCGCGGGGATGGGCAGTGGCCGCGGGGGACACCACACCCGGGACAGCCCCGGGGGTGACGCCACTCCCGGTACCACCGCGGGGGCCCCTGAGGCCCGGGGACTTTGTGAGCCGGGAAAATCCCGTCGGGGCAGCGCGCGGGGCTGGGTTTGGGGTTCTCCGTGGGTGCGGGGGACCCCAGGGCTGGGATTCCCCTCCGGGTGCGGGGCTTCCCGGTGGATGCAGCGGTTCCCGGTGGGCGCGGGTGCCCTGYGCGGTCCCCGGTCCGCTGTCATAGCCGGGGCGGTGTCCCCCGCGATGCCACCGCGGCCCCGGGACGTGATTCGGAAGTGCCCTCGGTGCCACCGAGACCACCAACACCGCGGRGGCGTCCCACCGGCGCTTGGGTCGCCCACGAGCGGTCCCGGTGGCCCCTCGGCGGCGCCGGCTTTGTTTTGCTGGGAGACACCGCGGGGACACCGTGGCCGGGTGACACCGGTTCCCCCCCCCCGGCCCCCCACAACCGGCCCCGCCATCCCGGTGGGAGCCGCCGCCAGCGGAAGCCGCGGCCGGGCAGGAAATGCCGAATGTGATCCCACGGGGCTCTGGAAACCGAAATCGGGGGCAACGGGGGGAACCGGCACTCCCGGCGTGGGCGCGTCCCGCCAGCGACGAGCGGCTCCCGCCCGCGGCGGCGCTCCCGTCCCGCATCCCACGCGGGGCCTCTGCCGGGGGGATCGCGTCCTACCGGGCGACACCGGTGCCCGGGGCGGGGGTCAATTTGTAGGGTGGTGGCACCAGCTCCTCCCTCCCAAAATGTCCCCGCGGCACGGTGTCGGCGGCGCCCGGTGCCGTCCCGGCTGCTACCGGGGGTGGAAAKTATTCCATCATGTGATGGAGCTCCGGCGGCCCCCGGAGGGGAGGATCCGCCCCGGAGCCCCCCAGTCCCGGGGGAGGGGGACTCCAGCCCCGGTACCGGGGGGGATTCAGCCCYGGGACAGCCATGGGGGTTCCCGGTGGGGCCGACGGCGGAGGAAGTGCCCGGCCGGGAGCGGCCGCGCTCCCACCACAAAGGCAGGAAACGAAGCGGCGGGAACGCCGGGACGGGCGGCTGCGCTTCAAAGCCCCCCGCGGGTGCCCCTCGACCCCAACCGGGSTCTCTGTGTGTCCCTTCCGCCTCCGTTCCCGGGGGAGGACCGGGATTTTACCGGTGGTCACGGGGGAATAACCGCCCCCCTTTTGGGGAGGGGACGGTGCCTCTTTTGGGGGCGTTTTTGGGGGGCTCCGTGTTTGGGGATSGGTCTCGTGGGAGTTTGCGGGACGCTCGCCCAGGGGTGCTCGGCCTCGCCCACGCTCTGTGCGGGTTTCCTGCGGCTCCGTGGGATCGGGATGAGCAGGGGAGGGCTAATTTTAGCTGACATGGGGGTGGGTGGAGCGGCGGCGGCGGCGGCGGTGCCCAGCTCCTGATAACGGGGCKGGCGGGACCTGCCTGGGGTGGCAAATGCCACCAGGGTGGCATCTCCCC